TTCCATCAACTTTTGCCATGGCAGACTGGTGAACCTGACATCTCGATCAGACACAATGGATTTAGGGAACCCATACTCAGTGACCCATCGCATCTGAAATTTTTGGATGACAAGTTCAGTATGCGCTTCTGCTGGTAAGGGAACAAACATAGCGTATTTAGAGAAACGGTCTACAATTACCATCACTTGACTATTACCATTGCGACTTTTAACCAGACTCATGAAGTTAATTGAGATAGACTCACCTGGTTCACTTGGTATAGGTAATGGCTTGAGAAGTCCAAGGGAATTCTCATGCGTTGGCTTGTTTCTCTGACACACTACACAGGTACGAACATATGTTAGTACATCTTCTTTAAGTCCCTTCCATTCGAAACGTTCTCTGACTTCAGCATATGTTTTCTTGAAACCAAAATGACCCTCAGAATCGTGACATTCCCCAATCAACAGACTCTTAATCTCTTCCTTATAAGGAATACACAATCTTTGTTCGGTTTGGTCAATCAAGAACAACAACCCATCAGTTAGTCTATAGTTGGGTAGTTGGGACGGATCTCGCACAAGGATATCCATGATTGGTTTCCAGAGTTCGGTTTGGTCAATCAAGAACAACAACCCATCAGTCAGTCTATAGTTGGGTAGTTGGGACGGATCTCGTACAAGGATATCCATGATTGGTTTCCAGATAAGATCAGTAGCATATCCTTGGCGAATCTGGTCTTTCAGGTCATTCCCAACATCCAAGTAAGAGACAATTGCACCAAAGAAATCACAGCGTCGGGACAAAACATCTGCAACCACATTAGGCTTACCTTTGATAGTCTTGAGTTCAAAGTCAAAGGTGTCAATGAATGCAGACCATTTTACTAACTTGTCAGAGAGTCTGAACTGTGTTTTTATCCACTGTAGGGTTGAGTGGTCTGAATACACAGTAAAGTGCCTCCCTAACAGGTAGTGCCTCCATGTGTCCAATGCACAGACTAAGGCATAGAGTTTTCTTTCATATGTGGAGTGGGCGACTTTGTCACACAGCAGTCGTTTAGACATAAATTATATGGGCCTATAGCCCTTGCCGTCATCTTGCTGGAGAACAGTGCCAATCCCATACTGACTTGCGTCAGTGGTGACAATGAAAGGCAAAGACGGGTCAACAATCTTAAGGACAGGGTAGTGAGTTAGGGCATACTGCAATTTCCGAAAGGAAGACTCACAATCCTTATCCCACAACCAGATAGTTTCTTTCTTTAACAACCTTCGCATTGGTGCAGCAATCAGTGAGAAGTTTCTGACAAACTTCCTATAATAGCTAGCTAGTCCAAGGAAAGATCGTAGTTCAGTAATAGACTTAGGTTGTGGCCAATCTCTAATTGTTGATTTTTTTTTTTCTTCCGGCCTTGGACCTCCTTCGTTTACTATGTGTCGTAGGTATAACACTTTAGACTTAGCAAACTCAGACTTCTTTGAGTTGATCTTAAAGTTGCCCTCACGTAACTTCCCTAGCACCAGACGAAGGTGCTTCTCATGATCCTCTAGTGTTTTACTATACACTAGAATATCATCGAGATAGACAATGGCAAACTTATCCAACTATTGACGAAACAAGTCATTCATTGACCTTTGAAAAGTAGCAGGGGCATTCGTTAATCCGAAGGGCATTACCACGAACTCATAGTGACCATACCTGGTCCGGAAAGCGGTCTTATGCTGATCGAAGGGTTCCACCTCGATCTGGTGATACCCAGATTTCAAGTCGATCTTGCTAAAGTACCTACATCCCTGTAACTGGTCAAGTAAGTCGTCAATGCGGGGAAGTGGTTCAACATTCTTAACAATGACGACATTCAACCCTTTGTAGTCTATACAGAGACGTAACTCACCTTCCTTCTTAGGTACAAACAAGACAGGAGCACCATAAGGAGAGGAGCTAGGGCAATCCATCCTTTTTCTGTCAAGTCTTGCAGTTGTTTCCTTAAGTCCTCAAGTTCCCTAGCAGACATTCGGTAGATAGGGCCCTTGGGAATCTTACAATGGTGTGCTTAATTGCACGCTCAGTTATTCATGTTGGTTCAGTAAATAGTTCTTTATACTCATCTAGGAGTTTTTCAATCGAAGGAGGATAGGAAGTAGAAGACTCACCTGCTTACTTTATTAAGACCATCATCACTTCCTGTTCCAACCTTTTCTTTGAAACCATCGATCGAAATGCTGGATAACTCATACAACAGAAAGACAGAGTAAAGTCAGAGCCAGACTTATGGTACAGTTTGATAGGTTTCAATTCAGAGTGTGCATGTCGCAATTGCACTATCTTTTCTTTGAGCTTGATATCTGGGTTGGCTTCCTCGTGCCAATCCATTCCCAGAATCAAGTCAAACAGTAAATTCTTTTCGACAAGGAAGGATACCTCGTGTAGAATCTTCTTCCCTTCCTTGATACGAAATCGACATTTGACACGATCAACACATTGCGAGATAGTGATCGTGCGTATGTCAACGAGAATAGACGTGATAGGTCGAGACAAATTTTTTACCTTCATTCTGACATGTAACTTTTGAATTGCCTTCTCGGATATGTAGGATCACGTTGATCCTGAGTCCAACAGAGCATCTACGCGTGTACTTGCAATCTCTACGTCCGCGAGTAGCAGGTCACCCTTAGACTTAGATTTCTTAGCCCACGAGCTTCGTAATGCTAGCAACTCGTTACCAAGCTCGTCAAGAGAGTCGTCCAGAGAGATTGTACATAAGACAGGTTCAGGGTGTTCCGGACGATGGGCCGAAGAAGAACCACCCTCTGTCATGTGAGTCAAAGGGTTAGAAGGGTTAGTAGGCGCCTTACCTTCATCTTGGTCCAAACCCTTAGACTCAGTAGGAGCAGATGCTACTCCTACCGGCGGCTCGCTTTTGGGTTACGGATTAATGGGCACCAGGCTATCACATGCCCTAGAGTACCATACTTCAGACATTGTGCATTGTCCATTCTTTCCTGCCACGTTTCTTGTGACATTCCCATCTTTTCCCATGGCTTCCCGGCCGCAATTCCGGGATGCTCAGGAAACGAGCGTGGTTTCTTCTTCTTCATTGCTGGTGGTCGTGGTCCTCCCTTGTTGACCACGGCAGCAGTGACTTCCCCCTTCCCGGAATCACTGCTGCTTGCCACACCCTCGACCTCCAATGGCCACTTCTCCATAGTATCGTCATCAAAGACGGCGAGGGTGTGGACTATCCTACCTACAGCTGTTCACGCAACAGGATCACTTCGACTCTCGAAGACCATTGTACATGACTGTCAACACCATCGCCGACCTCTCTTCATGTACCAGGTACGTATCTCGTCACCCTCAATCAGACCTTGATAACCCCATTCTGCGCCTCCTTCCCTGAAGACCACCAGATTCACCCGCTGGACCCCCTGGCGCCCAGCAGCCCGGCTATGGCTGCCTGCGCCCGGCTGCAGCCCCACTTCACCTCTATGTGCCCCGTCAGCATCAAGCCAGAGCGCCGCAGATCTTCCACATTGCCAGCACTGGCCAGAATGCCTGGCCTGGGCTGCCTCACTTCCTTTATCGAAGTGGCAGCCTCCTGGATGCTGCGTGTGGCCTGGCTGGAAGCTTCCAGTAGCTTCCGGTTGGGCCTCAGACCCTGCGCCCAGGCCCGAGACTACAGTTCAGGGCCTGGGCCCATTACAGTTGGGCATGGCCTGAGTCTCCGGACTTGGGCTGTTTGCTGCATCTGTGCAGGGCTCCCAGGCAGGTGTGTCCGCAGTACCGCTTTTGCAAAAGCCGGTGGCCTGCTTCCCAATGTATCAGCCCTCCTTTGTGTGTATGTGCCCAGGCGCAACTGTAAAGGCCTGGGCCAACTCTATGACGCAGCAATGCGAGGCTGACGCGTCTACCCAACCAACTGGCATGTTGAGAGAGCCTGAATACCCACTTATGGAAATGTCGAATTTTGCCTCTGACGAATATTCAGGCCCGCCTTCACTTAGGGCGGGCCTGAATATTCGTCAGAGGCAAAATTCGACATTTCCATAAGTGGGTATCATGTGATGTCTGATAGGGCCCCTTGAGGGCTTGTTCCTCACACCGGACGTATGGATTGGGATTGAGACAGACTGGATCTGGACGTCGGGTCCGTTGTCCACACTGGTAGGTTCGGATACACTGCCCCTTAGGATTTTTGGAAAAAACGGGGCTCCCAGGACCTTTTTGGGGTCCTAGCCGGCCCTGAAAGAATTGAAGAGGTATTTTCCGGGCCTTTCTTGGCCTAACGGACGGAGTCGGGCCCTGCGCACGCATGGGTGCAGGAAATTCCTTGGTGGCTAGGCTGGTAGGTGGGACGGATTTGAGTTTTCGAATCGTCGCGTTGTTATCGTCATGGAGGAGAGCTTGCCATCTTGTCTAGACATCGTGGAGCCAGGGGAAAGGACGTCGCAAGAAGCCAGTTACCAGCCAGTCTCTCTCTCTCTCTCTCTCTCTCTCTCTCTCTCTCTCTCTCTCTCTCTCTCTCTCTCACACACACACACACACACACACACACACACACACNCACACACACACACACACACACACACACACACACACACACACACACACACACACACACACACACACACACACATCTCAGCTGGTAGTCAGGACATGTATCACCTGATGCTGTATATCATGCATCCCCAGGAGGACCTGGACTGATTATACCCCTGTCCTGTCTGCTCGTCTGCCTAAACCCAACCCAAGGTGGGAACTTTGGCCTCTTCCCAGGTCAGGCAAAGGTGCAAGAGTGCACGGGTGCCTGAGTGACCGGCACTGGCAGGGGTCCAACATGGAACAGTGAGGGACAAACAACTAGGAGAGCATCATATGGAATTCGAAGTATACTACATAGCAATGTATAGAACTGCAGATGTGTAGATGCACATGAGAAAATGTGTCTGCCTACAGCCTCTTTCATTCTGGCCTGTGGACAACATTGATGGTTCAGGGTGATGATTTTAAGGGTTACCTTTCGATAAGTTGCAACAAGGCGAATCATATGGTCATACATGTGTGCCTTCTTGTACATCTTGATTGCAAGATCGTACTCCTTCACTTCAATAAACATTTTTTCAGCTTCCTTCAGACGACCACTTGCCTCCAACTCCCTTGCCCTTCTCAGGTAAAGCATGTTGGCCTCACTCTCTGACATATATCTTGCAGCCACCTGAGGAAGGGAATGAGCATAAGCAATCATTTGGAATTTTCAGAATTTCCCATTAGACTGCGGCATTGGATGCTCAAGACTTTTGCAGATTCCATCATAGTCATGAATCCTTGTTCATCTCAGAATCCCAGAAGATTATGTAGTGGCACAAGCATAGCCATGAAACAACCCTAAAAAACCATTCCACTGGTCCACTTTTGGACATGGACCAATTCATTAGGAGTCAAATACACTGGTCTTTTTCTTTGAGACTTGAACAGGAGCTCATGCGCGTGGCTCAATATCCATTCTGGGGAGTGTCACTCTGGTTCCTTTTCCGACCAGTGTGACACCCCTAGGCCATGCAACAGGCATTGCAGGGTTCAGAGGCCCTCAGTTCCGGGTCCATGAGGTTCAGGCCAGGTTGATTCAGGAGAGTAACGGGTAACTCTGACTGGGTCCAACAGGTACCAACCAACTCCAGAATATTCTGGTAGGCAGCACTTCCTAGCCAAAGAGGAGTCCGGCCAGTGTATGTAAGTCAAGGCCGGGTCAGTCAGGGGATCATTTGGACGCAGGTCGCCGCTATACTACAGCAGCCGTAAGTCAACTGTGTGCAGGGAGGAGTGGCATCGTGCAGTCACACAGTGATGTAGTGGTGGGCGCTGAGGAAGAACGCGGGCACCATAGCTGGCAGCCGGTGTATACGGTAAGGGTGGCAATACGGTAGGGGAGGTCCTTGGGAGGTGCAGGAAGGTCACGGAGAAGGTTGGAAGATGCTTACCTGGTGGTCGGCAGGGAGGTACTCCAGCGTGTCAGGTAGTCATCAGGAGAAGTCGGAGCAAACTCTACAGCATGGTGGATGAGTAGTCTAGGCTAGACTAGGCAGTAGGATAGGCAGTCACGCACGCAGGTTAGAGATGCCAGGGGTGAGTTAAGAACTACTACTTGTTGCATTGATTGGTTGGAGATGAGAAGAGGGCTTTCATAGTCAAGAGACTTCAGCATTGTCTGTATTCTTGTATTGGTGTGGTCTTGGCTCTATTAATTCTGCTTCCAGTTTGGTCTTCTCATGCATGCTGATCAGTGAGTTTGTCTGGTCATGAATTTATTTCTCATGGGCAGGCTCTTTGCGATTGGTAATCAGAGCGGCTCTCCTGGGAGGTTGTCATCCTATACCGGTGAGATGGAAGGTGCGGTGTCGGCCAAAGGGCTGACCAGCAGTGTGTAGACTTCTCGCCAGCAGTATAACTCATCCGCGAGGTTGAGATCAGATGGTCAGAAGGGCGAAGTAAGGTTGGGCGCGTGATAAGAGTATTTATTGGTGATTGTTGTTGCAAGGGGCGTACTTCCAAATGCAAGGAACATGAGTATGGACGAAGCACAGAAATCCAGAATGCAAAATCACACTGAAGTCCAAGTAGTCAAAGCCAAAGCAGATAGCACAATGGAGTAACCATCCAATTGAGAATGATACAGAAGAATCGTGAGTCAATGTCCAAGCCCAACAGGGCAACACCAACAGCATAACCCAATGTAGTTCTCTCTTGTGAATGGCGCCAGGCGCCCTATCTACTCTACAGACTAAGCCTACAACTACAGCAATGAAAGCAACCAGACAACTTGACGACCAGGGAGTGATGATGTCAACACCAATGTCGACCTCCCTCTCCACCAGGTACGTCCTCTCTTCACCCACACTCTCCCTTGATAACCCACACAGCGCCCTTCACCTCTGAAGAACCACCTTCGCCCTTCACCTCCACTGCACCCCCATGCGGCCCGGCTATGGCCGCCAGTGCCCTGTGTGCAGGCAGCGCCCTACCGCCTAGCGCAGGCCTGCCTTGACCCCAGCGCAGCGCAGCACCTCGCATTAGCGCAGCGTGCCCGCAATGCCTGCATTGGCCAAGATCCCTGCCCACTCGCACACTCTGCCTATATGCCAATGCTGCGTGTGGGCGGCCTGCCTTGAGCCTGCGCTTCAGTCCCAGTACCTGCGCCCAGGCCCAACCCAGATGTGGCCCGGGCAGTACAGTTGCGCCCCTTGTGCCAGGGCCGTTGCCCAGATGCAGACCCTTTCCAGTTTCCCCATGGTCTGCTCGGCCTCAATGACGGCAATGCTGCTTTCCCATTGGTCTGCAACGGCAATGCTGCTTTCCCATTGGACGACATCCATTGTGTGATGTGTCGGCCTCCCCTGGCGTGTGCCCAGGGCTCAACCAACTGAGGCCCTGGGCTCAACTGCTTCACGCAGGAGTCTGGGATCCACGATGCACTCCAACCAACTGGCGTGCTGCAACTGTCTGATACCCACTTTACAAAAATGTTGAAAGAAAGGCCTGTTCGTGGATATTCTGACCAGCCTTCACTTAGGGCGGTCACAGGTCTGGCCCGCCTTCACTTAGGGCGGGCACAAGGCTTTCTGGGGGCCTATGCCCGGAACATATGCATGTCGGCAAGACCCCTTCTGAGGGCTCAATCCTCACATTCTCAATCAGTTCCTCCCTGGTGAACCACCGATCTTCTTTTGGATCCGTGTCATGCCTGAATCTGACGCGATACTCTCTCTTGGGTTTAGGAGGTCTTCCTCGACCCAGCGGCTTTGCAACAGGCATATCCCTATGATCCACAATGTCATCGATGTTGACTTGTCCATCCATGGTTGGGGGCAGCATCGATCTCCGTGAAGGGAATTGATCAGTCTCAGCGAAAGGTGCAAGCTTTGAGGCATGAAAGACAGGGTGAGTGCGTAGGTGTCCAGGGATACGAATGACATATGTGGGACCATCCAACTCATCTCCCACTATATCCAGGACTTCGCAGGGACCAAAATACTGAGGCATTAGTTTGCAAGAGATTCCGAACTCCTGTCCTAGCTCACTAGCCTTGACCCAGACACGTTCCCCTACTTGAAATGAGGACTGCCTACGATGTTGATTCTCATAAGCAATCATCGCTTGCTGAGCTTTCTTCATGTGCTCGACAGCTTCTTGCAGCAACTTCTCATACTGCACACCATACTCAAGTGTGCCTGGAGTTGCAGCAGGTCGGTTTTCAGGTAGGCGGAAGTCTAGGGCTGATCTAGGCTTCCATCCCAAGTGTAGCTGATTAGGACTAACGCCGGTACTGCTGTGTACAACATTGTTGTACAGGCTGGCGATGAGAGGCAACTGCTCATCCCAGTCATCCTGGCTGGGCTTGATGTAATGCCTCAGCAAGTGCTGTACAACTCTGTTCATTTGCTCGGCTTGTCCGTTGGCTTCGGGATGATTCCCTGAAGTCATCTGAAGTTGACTGCCCATCTGTTCTGCAGTCTTCTTCCACAACTCACTTGTGAATCGGACATCTCGGTCACTAACGATTGACTTTGGTAAACCAAAGTCACACACCCAGTTGTCTTTGAACAAACTTGATGACATAGTCAGTTCTTGCGGTCTCTGGCATAGCCACTAGCCTAGCGTACGTGGTGAATCGATCGATGATGACGAAGATGTGCCTCTTGCCACTCTTACTAGTCACCAGGGTGTCCATGAAATCCATGGAAACACTCTGTCCTGGACCAGCAGGAATAGGCAAAGGCTTCAACAACCCAAGCGGTGCTTGAGTTCGCGGCTTGTCCCGCTGACATACCTGACAGGTCTCTACCTACTTCTTTGCGTCATCTAACATTCCTGGCTACCAAAATCGCTGTACTAGATTGACACTCGTCTTCTTGTAGCCAAAGTGCCCAGTTGCGTCATGACATTCGCCTAAAAACAAACTACGCAAACGCTCACTAGATGGAACTACTAATCTTTTTATTCCGGCCTTATCAAGATAGAGTAACCCGTCCACCATCACAAACTCACTTTCCGTGGCCTTGTCTTTTGCCTGAAGTTTGCGCATGATGTCCATCGTGACAGGGTCTTCCTGATAGGCTCCCGCCAATGATTGAGTTACTTTTTCAGATACGCCAAAGTCAGAAACTAGCGCACCTAGGTAGTCTGCTCTACGTGATAGCGCATCAGCAACCTTGTTATACTCTCCCTTCAGATACTCAAGCTTGAAGTCATATTGGTCTATGACCTCAATCCATCGCTTGAGTGCATCAGAAAGAGCCGGTTGAGTCTTGATCCATTTGAGGGTCTGATGATCAGTCCTCAAGTAGAAGAACCTTCCCAATAGGAAGTGTCTCCAATGGACAAGTGCTTTGTATAGAGCATAGAGTTCCCTTTCGTAGGTGAGCCTCATGTACTCAGGCCAACTTCTTCGATGGCATCCTTTTGCTCATGTACTCAATCGGTCTCAACTTTTTCCCATCCTGCTGAGCCAGCACTTCGCCAATGCCGTATTGGCTTGCGTTAGTGGTCACTATGAATGGCTTCGGAGGATCGGGAACCATGAGGACCTCATGATTCATGAGTGCATGCTTCAATCTCTTGAAAGCACCCTCGCACTCATCACTCCAGTCCCACGGCGTGTCAAGTCGAGTTAGATCAGTCAAAGGAGAGGCGACTGTAGAATAGTTCTTAACGAAGTTCCTATAGTAGCCGCACATTCCTAAGAATGATCTGACCTCAGTGACTGTCTGAGGTCGTGGCCAGTCTCGAATACTGGCTACCTTAACATCTTCCGTCCTAATCCCCTCCGCGGATACTTCATGACCCAAGTATAGTATCTTAGTGCGACCAAACTCACACTTTTCTAAGTTGACCTTATACTTGTGCTGTCGCAGGAGTGAGAGTACAGTCTCAACGTGCTGTGCGTGCTCCTCAGCAGACTTACTAAAGATCAGAATGTCGTCAAGGTAAACCACGACAAACTTATCTAAATGGTCATGGAAGATCCGATTCATAGCGTGCTGGAATGTTCTCGACGCGTTACAAAGACCAAAAGGCATCACTACAAACTCATACAGACCATAACGAGTCTGAAAAGTTGTCTTGTGTTGGTCCTCAGGCCTTATAGCGATCTGATGATAGCCGRATTTCAAGTCTAKCTTGCTATAGTACTTGCATCCCTGCACCCTATCCAATAGGTCGTCTATGSGAGGTARAGGCTCTGCGTTCTTCACARTGATGGCATTGAGGCCTCTATAGTCAATGCACATCCTCAATGTACCCCCCTTCTTCGGTACGAATAGCACGGGAGATCCGTAAGGGGAAGTACTAGGCCGAATCCATCCCTTTTCTGTCAGCTCCTTAAGCCGTCACCGAAGTTCATCTAACTCGGCGGGAGCCATCCTATAGATCCTTCCCTTTGGGGTCTTACTCCCTGGAATGATTTCTATAGCGTGGACAACTTCCCTTTCAACAACTCATGTGGGCTCTTCGAACAGATCTGGGAACTTAGCAACGATGCGTTCTATCTCTGGGGGTGTTTTAACGGCCTCCCCTTTCTCAAAGACATACACAAGGTACATACCTTCCTCTTGGTTTTGCTTGTAGTAATTGTAGAACGCTGATGCACACAAGCAGCCATAAGTATCTATAACGCTACTGGCCTTGAACTTAGTCAATCTGACAGTTCGGCCATCGGGCAACTTATGCTTGAGCACCTTCTTATCCCAGTCAAATTGGGGCCTAGCAACTTCGAGGTAGTACATGCCTAATAACATGTCGAATGGTAAGTCGTCGCTAACCAAGAACGAAATCTTATGATTAAGTTCGCCTCCTCCATAGGAGAAGGTACAGACTACGTCCTTCATATAGTCTGTTACTATCATGCGCTCCTTGTTGGCTAAAGTAGATGCTACAAGTCTACTAAGGTGCCGTACCCGGTCCTGTAGGTGCAGCCTTTCCTAACAGTCGCGCCTTATGTAATTTCGCGTGGATCCGATGTCTATGAAGGCACCACATGTGTGGCCTCCTACATCCACTTCCACCACAAAATGTTCCCCTCTAGGACCTTTCTTCAGTGCCACCCAAGACTCGCGAGGGTCCTTGTTTGACCACTCACCTTCTAAGTCTTCTAAGGCCTCAGACACGTCTAACGTACAGAGCATAGTTTGGTCTAGATGTGTCTGCGGGGTGGCTAAGAAGTCATTAGCTTTGGCCTTGTCATGAAGTGGGGAGGGTATCAAGCCCACGTCATCTTGAGTAGAAGCAGCTAAAACTTCCACTGGCCTCACGCGTTTCCCGAGCTAGAAGCCTGGGAATAAGATGCCCCCATCTTTGGAGCTATCTTTTGCGTAACCTTTGCGTTCAGGCACTTGTACTGCGAGTGTCCGTATTCCCCGCAATTGATACAAGCGCCACGCACTCGGCGGTCACGCCACACGTCTTGATCAAGACCTGCCTTCACCCATTCAGCCACTTTGGACTGATTGGAGGTGGCCTTCCCTTGACTCCTAGGTTGGCCCTTCCCTCGGCCACCTGCCTTAGTCTTGACTACCGCGGCGAGGGTGCTACCCTCAGCTACCTCCTTGCCGTCAAACTCTGTATAGTCCATCAGGTCAGTGAGCTCGTCGATCTCAGTTTGAGTCCCGTCGGACTCCACCATCATCAACTTAGCCCCCTTCTTCTTCCACTCCTGAGGACTCTTCTTCTTCTTCGTGTCATTCTAAGTGGGTTGAGCATTGCCTAGTGTGGCCTCCAAATCTAAGGCTTTCCTAGACAATGTCTCAAATGAATGGTACTCGAGGCATGCCTCGCTCGCCAGCAAGTTCCTGATGTTCTCAGGAAGACATCTAACAAACGTTGTTAACAGGAACTGGTCACTATAGTTGATGCCAGGGACGAGGATCAGGCTCTCAACGGTAGTCGTAAGCTCTCTGACCGTCTTGAACTTTCGTTGGTCCAGTTTGTTAATCGCATCAGTGGCTCTTTGCGCCTCCCGTGGATTATGCCATCGAGCTTCTACCATTTCCATGAACTGGTCTAACGTTAGTGACTTAGCCCAGTCCGCCATGCGTCGCCCGTACCCTGCCTTCACAACTACACCATCTAGCCATTTGGCTGCCTTACCCTCGAGGTAAGATGCAGCAGTTACCACTTCATCCTCAGGCAAGGTCTTCTTTGCCTTCACCCAAACCGGGACGGTCCTCAACCATGTGTTGAGTTCTTCGTCCTTTCTCTCGCCTGAGAAGGCAAGAGGCGGTTTCATTGGGGTCTTAGGATACCATTGACCCTGCGGCTGTCCAGATTGTTGAACAGGTTGTTGCGGTGGTGTAGCAACCACCGTTGGACCCGAAGAAGAAGATGCAACAGTCTGTGCGGCTGTTGCAGACGTACCACTTGGTTGTGTACCAGCTTGAATTGGAAAGGGGGCTGACATTGCCGATAACGGCAACGGCGATTGTGCTGGTGGCCTAAATTCTGGCCTTGTCAAAATGTCCAGGATCTGGTCCAAAGTGCTTTGCATGAAGTCCAACCTGCTGTCTACGTGCGCATGCAGCAACAACATGTTGTTCCTCAACACTTTCATGGGCTCATTCATTCCAGAGTCATCCAAGCCCTCTAGCTCAGCCTTGTTAGCCTCTAAAGTATCAAGCCTGGCCGCTCTATTCTTTATCTCTCTTTCTCTGTCGGTAGCTTCTTTCAGGTCCTTCTCTAACTGTGCACGGATCCTTTCGACCTGTTGGAGCTCCATGTGCTCCCTTTCGCGAGTAGTCAACGGGCTATACTGCTAGCCCGCCATTTGACTTGTAGACTGTCGAGAACCTAACGAACTGGAAGTACCCGTGGACCTTGTTGGCATTCCAAACTGGGTCCCAGACGAGGACACAGCAGATGATGCAGCAGTGGATGCTGCTGCAGAAGACATGGCTGCTGCCCTGGCTGCTGCGGCTGCCTGTTCCCTAGCTGCAACGTTTACTGCTTCCCTCGATGCTGCTAGTGCACGGGCTCTACGTTCTGCATGGATGCATCTTTCGTCTTCTGGTTGTAAGGCCTGGAACACGTGCGGGATCCTACGTGATCTCGAACTTGTTAGTCTAGCATCGTCAACTCTCTCCTCATCGACGTCTGATCCGTTCATCAATTAGGCAAACATTATCTGCACTAGAACCCCCTAGTGGAGTCCTACCACAGCATGTGTCTGACCGACACTTAATCTTCTAAAAATAGATGTGTCCAGCAGGTTCCCTACTGTACCGATCAAGTGGCATGTCTACAACATTCACAACAGATTGTCTACATAGTCTAGATGTACTCTGATTAGTTCACTTACAACAGCATTAGACAGAACTGGCTATGGTAGCATACAACAGTCCTAATCTAGTCTGTCTGTGAAGTGTTAGCAGTCTGTCCACCAACTAATCAAAAGTACAAAATGACCATGTTGCGGATGTATGATGAGTGGGTATGGTTGTGTATACAGTTGAGCACCAATTAGAACCTACCCTTCCCCTCAATCCAACATACCGGTAAGCATCTTTGAGCAGGCAGTGTCTTCGTGTGTGTTTCGGCCCACCCCTGTGCCCAAGTTGTCGCCGAGCAAGCCAGCCAGTCCGCTCTTATTTACCCTCGTACGGAAACGAGCCTTACACCCGGTTGATCTGGCTGATCAGGAGGAATTTATAGAGCGCCCCCATCTCTTCAGGAATTCTTTAACGTCGCAGTCAGGACGACGATCACAGCCAGAATCAATCCGAGTCCCCAACCAGAAATGTTTATAGACGGTCTGGTAAGCGTCTCTAAAAGGCTGGCACACCCGGCGGAACTTCTATTTAGCGCAGCAAGTGCCAAAATGGACAGCAGCCATCGCATGCGTGACCTACTCCCATTGGGTTGGTATGGTGACCGTGACCCAGTGCTTCGACCAGGGCCCTTCAGAGGCACCGCCCTTTCTCCTTCCAGATGCTTCCGGGAAGATTGTCGTCTCTCAAGGTAGCGCGCTCA